TTATTATTATTATTATTATTATTATTATTATTATTATTATTATTATTATTATTATTATTATTATTGTAGCACGGACAATTGTAATCAACCAACCGTCTCAAAAAGGCGACGGATATTTAATTTCGATATCCTTGTGCTGAACTCATGTTTTGTGTGATCGCCATTATGTAAAGTCGTCACTCGTATTTCAGAATTAACTAATGCACAACAGAAGAAATCGTTTATTTGTTAGAGTAAATGAGAAGCATCTTTTGTTTATGATTGATGCCCTAAGGATGCTCAAATAACACATAAAATTGTTGTAATGCTGTTTGCAGGAATCATAGCTTCGTGATTCTTCCTAAGCCTCAAAAAAATTCAAAACGAGACTGAACATTTCTCCTTGCTTTTGTTCCAGCAAATGGAAATCCTTTCCGCCGCGGCATAAGATAGTACTGGTGTTCTGAAATATGTTATCCCCGCGTGTGCCGGCCGGCTGATGAAGTATATAAACAGTCTGCCGAGACTGGAACTAATTTTCAGGCCGGGAACCGAGATGGTGCTCTCTATTCGAGTCTGGAATCCGTTATGTAGCTGAGATAGGAGTATCACATGGTCAAAGCTTACATACGTCCAATAAATTCACGCCGACGATGTGATAATGGCCGAATGGATGTCACACTTAACCGCACTATCAATGATTTACAAGGCACCTTTGTGAGATTGAGCGGTCATGGGGACAACGTAAATCCGCAGAATGGGATAACGGCTCACTGGCGAAATGGCCAATTTTCGGATCGGCCCACACCGGGCCGACTCCTGATGAGAACGGACGACAAGCACAAGTCCCCGTAGGCTGGGTCTTTGGTTGTTATGTTTTGAGAGAAAGAAATTAAAAGTAGATTCGGTATATGTTCAGGCCTACATACAGGTATTTCTTGTATTATTTGATTGGTCGTGATTTATGCTTTGTTACGAAATAAGCGATGATAATGGCTTAGGGTGGCCCATTCTTTATGTTTCTAAACGGTTGCCTTACAGTTGGTCTATATTTACACAAAGTGTGCATAACATTATGTTTTTTTTTTCAGTTAGCATTGCCTGCTTACATGATCTTTACTCTTCAGTCTCCATGTCGACACTTCGTTTCCTTTATGTTCGTTCAGTATCCATTCCTGAGTGTTTTTCTAACGATTTTCTATCATTTTAGGGGATACGAACACTGCCAAATGAGCTACTTCAGATTCCTCTCTTCCCAGCCTAATTTTCCTTTGTATTTCAGCTTACACTTGAAACACATCTAGCACTAAAATCGTTGAATAGGGCCTTAAATATGTCCGTTACTTGAGCTTGTGAGGTAAAAGGTGAAAACCTCGGACCTGATCCACTAGAGGCATTAAATATTGATGTTTCAGAGGTAGAAAACTATTGGCTGTGCCTAGTTGAAAGCATGGATGAAGAATATGGTGTCGATGGGGAGGATGCTTATCAATTAACAAGAACGAGGCAAGCTTTAATTGCTTTGCTCTTTAGTCCTTTTTCTTGCACATATTTGCGCATGTTTGTTTTTCTACTACCTTCAACTTTGGTTTGCGAGCAATAATGATTTTGAAGCATAGTTTGTAGCAGCATGGTAATTTATCTGAAGCACTATGTAGAAAGGCTTTCTTGTGTGACTGCCCGCATCAGTGGGTCCCGAGTCCAACTGGTTGTTTTTAGGGTAATAAACAAGTGAACTAAGAGCCAAGAAGCATTATGTGACTCCATCACTCAGTAGCTTGATCGCTTTACTACACAGCCGAGAGCAGAACGCACTGAAAGTGGAGCTGTTACTCTGAGTGGCCCTCCGTTTGGCATCGCTCATCAGATCCACAGGCAATCGGCGCGATGGCTCTGGTCTTCGGGCCGTCTGTGCTCGCTCGGCTGACGCCCCCAGTTCGGAGCTCCCCTCCTCTGCAGATCAAACTCAGCCTGCCCGGTCGGAGGTGAGGGAACCCACCGGCTTTCCGGTCTCGTTAGGCTCGATGAATTCATTCCCAGCGCGTGAATAAAAGTCGCAGATAAATCTGGAACGGCGGCTGAACGAGCTGCCACCGGAGCTGCCCCACCGCCTTGATACTCGGTCTGCTCCAGCTCCTTCCAGACACCATCTCAGAAAAGGAACAGACCCTAACTCGTTCGGCTCTATTTTATAGATTTTATAATAACTGAGCGCGAGAGGAAACCAAAATAGTTTTCTGCTAAAGTAACGGCGACGTTTGAATTTCGTAGGTGTTTTACCTAAAACATTTAGCATTGTGACCAGCACCAGGGTTGGGCTATATCAAGCGTTTGCGTTCTTACCTGGCTCCGATATTTGGGTTAATGCAGTCTGTTATCTAATGCCAGTGATGCCAGCTGCACAACCAAGGATTATCTGCGTTAATGTGAACGCTAAATGGCCACCTATCGAAAAATCAATTCCTTCTAATGATAATGTATATGAGCCTTTGGGTAACTCATGGTAACTTTCAGTGAACATATGTAATTAAGCAATTTCGTATGCGATAGACACCTGCACTATAAGGGTATCTCATTAATTTGCTTTAATGGATCGTTACGTGACTGCACTCAGATGGCTTTTTGCTACATACGGTAGGAATTTAACAGACTTTGTTAGCCCTTGTCCCACGTATGTAAGCAGTGTATCACTGCACATCGATGTATCGGTGATTCGCTAAAACTGTTTGGTAATGCCGATCTTTCATCATCGCTATTACAATGTAGACTCGACAATGCTTCCCCATAAAAAGCACGCCGGTACAACAGACTGAGGAGGAAGGCAGTGTTTCACAGCCACCCGGTTCATGTCAGCTCTCCGCGCGGTGTCCCTGCTCGCGCGTCCCGCCGCGTCTCTGGGCGGTCCGTCGGCCCAGGTCTCCGTCGGACCGGCCAGCGTCGCGGCCGACGCGGAGACGACGGCGGCCGCCGGCTGGACACATTATTACCTCGTATTGGCGGCCGGTTACAAATGGACCTGTCATTAGGGCGGCGTTTTATTGCTTGTGAAATCGCGGTGAGCGCCGCTCGTTAAGCGGTCGGCTCGGCTCGGACGAGCGTGAGGAGATAAAGAGAGGGGTGGCGACGGCAGTGGGGGGGGGGGGAGGTACCACCTGAGGCTGGCTGCCGCACCTGGCGACCCTGACTGATCGGATAGGAATGGATGACTTTTAACTGACCGGATGTGTCGTCAAGTACATACCTGGCACACCCGCCAATATTTACTTCAGATCGTAGTAGAACCAAACCAATATTTTCACATCGTTTATTTGAAAACATAATTACAATGCATTGCAGATAATGCACTTGATGCGGCATCTCCCGTTTGTTGTTTGTCGAAGGTTTGCTTGAATTTATTGTAAAGCCAGTGCGTATGAATGTCTCTCTGCTGTTGGCAACACCATCCTTTTGGTTGGCTTTTCGCCTCTATAAGGAAGCGCCGGCTGACTGTGCGTTTCTTTGGTGAGGCGGCGCGCCGTGCTCCCCGTTTGAAGCGGATCACTGAGAATGGTCAGCCACATCGGCAGTCGCGGCACGTCCGTCAATTGGGCACTTCTTCAGCAGCTACTGAAACTGTAGCCGAGCCAGCTCAGTCGCCGGCAGTGAGACTTATGCTGCCTCCTCCAACCCTGCCGTGCGCAGGTCCGTGATGACAAAATATTTGTGTTTTGTTTAAATATTTTTACGGTTCTTCGCTTAGGTATACCATTCTGAAACAACTCTTTTCCTGTCGGGCTCCAAACGGTTTTGTTTATGGTGTATAGAGTGCATCAGAATCATCCGTGATATCTCGAGAGACTTTCAGCCAGTTTTGTTGGAACCAGCGAGATTAAATACGGCTCCATGGAAGATAATTTTAAAGCCCTTAAACAATGCACACAAATCTAACGTGAGAGGTTATGTATATGGTCAGAACAAGACATTTTCTTGCTGTAGGTAACTTCTAAACCGCCATACGGCGCTTGTGTCCTGTGCTCTACGTTTAATGGCTTATGGACTTATTCTGGTGGAACAAATTTCAGTCGGCGCATAGCATGTTTGCACTCAACGTCAGCAACGTCAGGGCCCCTTAGTTTATAGTTGAAAATCAAATGCGTACTTAGGGAGGAAATTGTCTTACCCTCCCCCGAAAAAAGGTCCGAAGCCGCCCCTGCTGCACTTGTTTCTTCAATAACAGTGCTGAGTGCACCAGCGACGCGCAATGAGCATTTCGGAAAACTGTCGGACTTTGATAATCCTAGCTCAAATGAGATGTACTAAAAATGAAAAGTCCGGGTTTTCAGAAGCCCCCACCGAGAATAACGCTAAATTTGTGGATGTCAAAGCTGATGTAATATCTTCTATGCATATAGTGTCTCTTTTTACATAGGTGTTTCTCTGTATATTGGTATGAAGAGGTAGGTATGTATGTATTTTATAAGGCGACGGAAATGCAAGGGTTGGCATATGTTAGACTTAAGAGCAAGGACAAGGGACGAATTGCTACCTGTCCCGCATCGGCCCGCTGTCGAACTCGACAGCGTGAAGTGACATCAGACTGTGCTGTGATAGCGAAACAGCCTGCAGAATGTTGATATTGCGTGAGGACAGGCAGCTAAAGATAACAATTGTAATTATCTTTTCACTGATTTTGATACCAATCATGATGTTTGTATGGTACCCGTGGCCGTGGCCTATGAAGGGCCTATTACCCGCGGTCCGTCTAAGTAAACCAAAGCATGTCACACATGTAGTTCTGGAATCTGGAAGTCTTCCTCTTCTGACAGATTGCATCCTATTCTTGAATAGTAATTCATGTCGTAAATAACATCGATATTTAATTTCAAACTCAGGAGCAGAAGGTAGAATGATGAGGTGACTCAACAAAACTCAAATCGTAATGTTACACTCGGGCTCCGAGTCTCCGCGTCTGTCCGGGTGCGTGCGGTCGGGGTTTTCGGCCGGGTCGGTTCGGTCGGCGGCGTGTCGCCGTCGGCGCTCACCTGCCGTCAGGAGACTGGCGGCCAGAACAGCAGAGTAGCACCGCGCCAGCAGCCGTGTCGCCATGGTGTCGGTGCCGACTGGCCGTGGTCCCCGGTCTGCCGGCCGGCGCTCAGTGGCGGCGGGTGGTGCGCGCGGCGCCTGGCGCGACCCTCTCACATACTCTCCGAACACGAGCGGGCCCACTGAGCTCGCCGCCGGCCGCCCCGCCGCTATATACCTCACCGGAATCGATGGCAGGGCACGGCCGGACCGCCGCCGGCCCGAGCACCCCTCCTCGGGGCGGACGGGCCGCGGGCACACCGAGACACAGGAGACTGTGCAGTACAGTTTGGCTGCATTTTGCATCTTATTTTCTCTTTATTTTGATTATTATTTGGATGTACGAGGGGCGTTCAAAAAGTTCTCGGCCCGACCACGAAGGAGCAGAGATACGACGTCGACTTATTAGATCAAAAATGTTCATTTATTCAAATAACCAGCGTTAAGACAAAAACATTTCGCGCAGCGCTTCGCGAGAGGCCCCTGGGTCTCCATAGCCAAGTGGGTTTCGGACACATCTGGCACGTCCAAGACGGCTGCTTTTGTCTCCTTGCTGTCAGCGAAGTTGCCACTGCTAAGCAATTTCCTTATGTTGGGGAAGAGGTGGCAACCTGAGGGTGCAAGGTACGGAGAAAAAAAAAACTGGCTGTGACAACAACTCGAAGCCACAGCTCACTGCTTCGCTGATCGTCACCCTGCTCATGTGTGCTGGTGCGTCGTCCTGGATCAGGCGCACACTTTTAGTCAGCTTCCCTAGTCTCTCCTTGATATCTGCTGCTCGCTACTGTTATCGAAGGGAGGTGTAGCATTCATCATTAATTGTGCGCCCCTGTTTTAGAAAGTTGACGAGCAGAGCCCCGCCAGCATCCCAAAATGCAACCACTGTCACCTTGCCGTCTGACTTAAACACGTTGCACACATTTGGTGGCCTTTACTCAGCGTGCTTCCACTTGTGCAACTCGGTCACGCCCTTAGGGTCAACGTGTGACACCCACAATCCCTCCACGGTAACAAGTAGTTCAAAGAATTCTTTTGTATCTTCGATATAGGGGCCAAAATTTTCGCGTTACGCCTTCTTTCGAGTTTGCCTTTCCTCTGGAGTCAGCAAACGGGGGATGCATCTTGCAGAGATCTTAACACGCGCACTGCGGCGGGTCTGAGCCGAACACGAACTGCAATATGACCTCGAAAGGTCAAGTTCAAGAGTTGACCTCAGGTCAAGGTCATGACCTGACCAAAATAGGTCATGTTTCATATCATTTCATTCGATCCGCATTGACGAGACAAACACGATAAACGTCGAACGGAGTCTCTATCTCTATTCAATTAAAAGTTATTGAAGAAAAACCGTTGGTGACCGTTGAATTGCATGCCGGCCCCAAAATGTGACCTGACCTAAGGTCACAGAAAGAAAAATTTCGAAATAAACAAAATGTTCCTTATGGTCTCCTAATATGTTTCTGAAAGTTTCATAGCATTCAGTCAAATGGTGTGGATGTAGCACAGCGTCAAACTTTTTATGAGGTGACGTCACTTATCGTGACCTGGTGACCTGACCTTGCATGACCTAACACTAATTTTTTCAGAGGTGATGTAAAACTGTTTGATGAACAGCTATACAAAGTTTCAAAGTCGTAGCTTCACTGGTTTTTGAGTTACAGCGAAAAAAACCAGAGGGGGGGGGGTTGAAAACAACCCCCCGCAGTACGCTGTCGAAGAATGGCTTTGAGGAACCTGATAGACACGTCCGCTTCTGCTGCGTTGTTCCAGACCATAACATTTGTCATTTTTCACAAAGAAGTGCTTATTTTTCATATTTTCTTGAGTCAATGCTGTTGATGGCTGCCCAGTGTGGGGATGACCATTAATGATCTGTTGACCAAAATTGAACAGAGATAACCACTTTTTGACGCTACTGTAAGAAAGACAAACCTCAATATGTGTTGGCACTAGCTTTTCGTGAATAACGTTTGGTGCATTTTTCTGCAACACATGAACCAAATCACTGTTCTCTTCTGGGCGTCGCCCATTCTGACCGGGAATGGCAAACTATGTTACGATTAATTAGCAGCCTGAACCAATCACAGGGCAAATTGGTTAATGGCTACGTAAGTGGACATCCCAATAATACATCATTGAACACACCGCGTTGCAGGCCGAAATTCCAACTCCTTCATGGTTGGGCCGGGAACTTTTTGAACGCCCCTCGTAGTGTTTATGTGTCCTTAAATTTGACAATCCTTAAATTTTCCGATGGGCCAGAAGTGGTAAATACATACAATGCAACAAAGCCCCCTATCACAAGAGCCAAAATAAAGTAATTCAGGCTTCTGTTTGTGTGCCAAGTGTCAAACATATAAACTCTGACACTTGGAAGATAGTTGGTATCTCGAGCCACGCAGACTAATGTAAAGAAGCACCTTTATTGCATCACTGACCCAATTTATTTTTAAGATTATTCGTCAAATTTTTGCGGTGAGGTTTTGCATCAAATGTATCAACAAGTACGTTTCACCGTTTTTATTTGTTGTTATTTTTTAACCCGCGCCCTGATGGGGTTTGCCGAGCAACGCGGTCTGATGGGGGGGGGGGGGGGGGGCATTTTGGCCCTCCCTCCTAAGATCTCGAGAACTACGTAACATAGCGACAAGAGGCAAACGGCGATGGATAGCCCCAACGGGGAACTACCTTGTGACCCAATTTCATTGACCTCGGTCTAACTGATGACGTCACATGACAGGTCAAATGTCGAATTTTCACCGTTTACAGGTATTTCAAGAAATGCGTTGTAAAATCGAGTAAAATGCATGTCATTGAAAATCATCGATGGGGAATTGTCCATAAAACACATATTTTGCTGAGGTCACCGATACCAGGTCAGGTCACTGAGGGTCAAAATATGAAAATATCATGTGATGCATGTTTTATGGTCCATAAATGCTAATGCGATTATGTGGGCTAGGCAGCCTTTGGGGCCAGTTAAGGTTATGTTCTTGCGATAGGCGTTATCACAAGTGTATTCGCGGCCATTGGGGCGACGTAAGAAAAGAAGAAAACAACTGGCCCCAAGAACTTTAAATTATCAAATAGCATGCACCTTTTCCTTGATATGTAGATAATTTATCATTAATTGTTAGATAAAATTGCATTTAAAATCTTCCATTTATGCTTTTTTCATCGTTTGCACAGTATGTTCTTTTACTAAGCTAGAAACATTAATTAGAAATAGTTCCCGCATCATCAAGAACAATAGGGAAGGCTTGAAGTGAATGCAATAATCTAAACGGTTTTGTAATCCATGAGAAGACACTTCTAAAATTGCCAGTAGAAATATTAAAGGCAAAAGTTCAACTTTTTCACAAGACGTATGGCTATTAACCTATTCAACGTGTGACAACCCAGCCGGTATTTCGTCGCCTACAGCCCAGCTTTCCTTAGTGACCGATAGAGGCGCTGCTATCGATGTCCGCCCGTGCCGCCTAACGGTGAAGGTCAGGTCAAGGTCAGGTCAAATAAGGTCAAATTTCAAACTGGATATTTTTGCATAGAATGGGTTTTGGTTTGATGCAGCTCGTCACGGGGAGTCTAATGGTGGTCTTTGTTTTGCGCTACGTGGTCTAGAATTGCTTAAAATTGAGTTCAAAAATTTAACGTCATCAATTTTGAACAGTTTGTTCGCTGTAACTTGGCCCAAAAAGGAGGTATCGATTTAAATTTTGGTATGTAGATAAAAGAGCGCAGGGACTATCATATTTATTCCGTTTTTTAAATTGGAACAATTTTTGGGAATCTTTTTAGTTTTTCTTTAAAAAAATTATTGTTGGGGGTCAAAATCCTAAAATTTTGAAAATCCGAGATAGCAGTTATGTAGCGCCATCTTTTCTATACACGACCACATAAAGAACTTTGAAATTGCTTGTTAACTGTAGATTTTTGTGAGCGTTTCAAGGTGTCATGTTTTTTGCTTATTTTTGCTCGAACATGACCTCAGTTTGACCTCAATAACTCCTGACCTAAGGTGACCTGTGACTAAAAATTTTGTGTGAAGGTGCCAAATTGATGAGCAGGAAGGTACTGAAAATTAAGCGCCGCTGCGTGTCGCCGTTTTCTCGCTATTCAAGAAAAACCACGGGGGTGGGGCAAAATGCCCCGCCCCCATCAGGGTGCGGGTCAAGTGAGACGGTAAGAGTTTAAGTTCATTTGCTGGATCTTTGCGCTGGCGGACCATGTCAAATGTAAATGCCCATAACCCGTTCCAACTTCCAATAGCACCTAATATATGTAAGAAGTTGTCGTTGTTAACGCATGGAAAATAAATCTTTCAATTTTATCAGCAAAACTGCCTTGAATTGCCTAGTATCAAAACATTTAGAATTTTAAATATATTTTAGAGAGTACCTAACCCCGTTATTCATCATCACTTTTCTGGGACCCACAACGACCCACCAATGCTGCTGCTTTTTATGTTGGTCCGGAACACTTTCCATGGTGTCCGGTGTGCTCATTAATGCCCAATGACAGTACGGTGAATTATCGAGCTTTTCGTCATAAAGGTGCGCTATTCCAGCATCAGCATCCCAAAGGCCAAAAAAACAATCAAATTTTCATTCGGTGAACTACTTCATCCAAGAAAAACATCGTTGTTAGTTTTACGCACTATCGAGATCAAGAGCGGCCTGTGAGCCCTTTGAATGTGGCCAATTGAATGATATCTGGGCCGGAGAGCGTCCACCGCTGTGCCGCGGGGGCCGCCAGAGAGGCTGCGCGCCGCGCCCCCCGCCGGCGGCCCCATCGGCCGGTCAGCCCGTGAAGTCCCTTCAAATCAGCGAGAAATAATTGACAGAAAAAGGCGGCCAGCTCAGCGGCGGATATTGGGCTGCGCCGCCGGAGCCGGTCAACGGCATCAGAGGACCGGGAAAGGCGAGCGGGAGAGGAGCGGAGCTGCACATTCGGCCAGCGGAATAACCACGGAGAGGCGGCTCGAGCTGGCGCTGCGGAGCAACGCTCGCCTGACAATATTACGAATGGGACCTGGGTGACTTTAAATCAAGGGCTCATTAACGCGTAACTGTTGGTTTCCATTTATAAGATGGTTGACGTTGTTAACTTGTCAAGTATTATTGGTGCTTTTCCTTTGTTTCTTTTGTC